CTACCAAACACACTCTTATTTATTTTCTTTTTGGTTCAAATTTCTGGCTAAGAACCTGAAGAGTTTTTACTTGGAGGTGCAAGTTATGCCTAAGAAATTCTAAACTAAGGTTCCTATTTGTGTGGGCACTTTTCAGAAGGTAATATAGTTGCGTCCATGAAAGAAGTTTCGGGTTTATCTCTGTTAACTTAAAACCAAATTGGTGGTAGTTCGATAGTTCTTGGCACTCTTAAATTGCGGTAAAATGAGTAGAATCTGAACACACGCACAAACAAAGCTAACTGAAAAGAACACAATATAGAAGTAGACATTATGGGGAAACAAACTCGAAGCATATCACATGCCAACTTATATTACCTTCCTGCAAGTGGTCATTGGATCATCGGAATAGAATGGGGGGTAGCCAATAAGCATTTCATACATAATTGCACCCAGCGACCACCTGCAGCATATTTAGAGGATATAACGAGGCAAGAAATAAATAAGTTAAATTATAGTTCTCTCTCCTTAGTACAACACAAGCAGCCAAAATTTTACCAAGCAGCTCAGCTTCTATATAGAACTCAACAATCAATCACAAATCCAATGAAATGGCAGTTCTTCAGATGCTCAAATTTCTCCACAGAGAATTTTGAGTTCCCTCAAGACTCCAAACCATATTTATATCAGAAAATTACTTTCAATAAGTTAATGAAGTGCAAAGTACTGAAAATTATGATATGACCAGACAAACAGCAAAGTTACACGAGTTTGGAATCCGATAGGTGCAATCTGTGGGGAAAAGGGAATATTTTATAGTATACATCAGCAATAACCAGATTTTCTATTAGTTCAGCTCCCCAGTTAAAGGCCAGGTTGGTAAGCTGCCTATATTCGAAAGGTACAGGCCTAACAGTACTTCAACATGCATATCGATATTAGTTATCTGATCTATCACGAGAATGATAGAAAATTGAACTAATTACAAGGAAAAGACACGAGGACAGGCTCACCAGTCACACTCCATGCCATATCCTTTCTTCAATAGCACTTCAGGTGCAATATAGTCTGGCGTACCAACAGTTGAAAATGCCTTTTCAAAGACAAGAAGAAAAGAAGAAGATAATTACTAAAGCAATCAAAAAGTACGGTATATCAGATAGTAACATCCCTCAATCTTATCCATGGCAGATGTACGCCACTGTTCTAAACTAAAAGCACGTGGAGATGGAAAAGTAGCACTTGAAATTTATAGGAACAAATTGAAAGTCCCAAAGTTACAACTTAAAATGTTTTCAGTTTATGCCATTAACAAACACAGTGCAGTGGTCAACGGACTTTAAAGTCTCCAAAGTCAATTTGAGCGTTGCCAAGCTTTTCTTCGCACAGATGTCATTTATTTGACTTTTGATCAATATATAACACGGGGATGCCCCTATTATTCAGTAGTTCCGTTGGAATGAAATGTATTTTCTCGGCAATCATAATAATCCACACGAAGATATGATCTCCAAGAAATCAAGAGTAGTTTTCTCTTCCCATAATCACATAATCATTCAATCATCTCAAATTAGTGAAAAACTATTTACTTGTAACGTGGGATTATATTATACGCATGATTTGGGTGAGAATTTAAATTTAAAAGACATTAACTTCAGGTTAAGAGGAAGAAGTCGGTTGAACTAACATAATTTTGGAAAAGAATTGACAGAGTATTATAAGCCTACATAATTTCAAAATGGTGCTCAATGTCAAGAACATTAACACAAAAAAGCCTCAAATTTCATGTAAATGTATAAACACCCATCCCGTTAAGCAATAAGATTCCAATTATCTTATAGTTATTTTTCCCTTATCTTTTGGGCATTAATCACACATAAGAATAGGCATTATACTCAGTCCTGCAGGATATGTACGAAAAAATATTTCAAGCATGTTTTTTGATTTCTCACCAACTTTCTCCTATTCATCTGCCAATGCTGAAGCTGTTCTTGAGGGCTTCTCCAGTGACTACTATTGGCAGCATCTGGAAAGCGGCCATCAATGTCCATCGGTTCCCTTGTATTCTCATCACTCAAGGCCTCGTTTTCATTTACAGTAGATAAAGTTCTACAATCAAGAGGCTTGCAAAGACCGAAATCTGAAAGCTTCATGTGACCATTTATGTCGAGAAGAAGGTTGTCTGGTTTGATATCCCTGAGAATAAACAAGAAAAAGAAAAGATATTAATAAGAAAATATTAATGTTCACAACATTGAACGATACCTGATTCACAAGTGAATTTGGTATTTCATACACTAATTTCTTGAAATGCAAGAAAACACACCCACCTGTGAATATAATTATGTTTATGAATGGACTCAATGGCCAGGATACTTTGAGCAATGTAAAATTTAGCAACACTTTCAGACAGTGTGTCTTCTCTCATCAGCAGGGTCATCACATCACCACCAGGGAGATATTCCATAATAAGATACAAATATTCAGTATCTTGAAAAGAGTAGTACAGTTTTACAATGCAGTGGCTAGCCACTTCTGCAAGTAAGTTCCTCTCTGCTCTAACATGTTCCACCTGCAGAGGAAAGCACCACCTTTTTGAGACAAAAGGAAATCACACAAGCCACTCTTGTCCTCACAAGATTCCATGCAATGAATGTATACCTGAGACTTGTTACAGGTTAAGACTTTTTAGATTGCATTCCAAAGATTAAAACATAGAGAGATAAAATAATTGTCAATTATTTGAAAGGAACCAGATCAATCCTTCGCCACTCGTCATGAATGATTGGGCAAGAAAGGGAAGCTTGGGGTGTTGTCTTTCTTCTGAGGTATTAATGGAGGTTGAATTCCAAATATACACACTTATTGTTGGCATAAAGTTAGAAAGGAGGTATAATTTATTGTTGTAAAAAAATTATTAGTCTTTGAATTAGGAACCCTCTCCTTCCCATGTCATTCTGGTAAGTTTTCATCTTTCTTAGGGATTTTTGCACATAAATAGAACTAGTATCACTGAACAATTCATACTTCAATTATGATATTAAGTCGTGTTGAAAAATTTTTACCTATATTTTCAAGTTCTCTCTTTCTTTTAGGAACACTTCGTAGGAAATAGGAAAGAGTACTTAGAAGGCAGGAAGAATAAGCTACAAAGTTGACGAGAGATAATAGGACTCATGTCATTTGATTTTCTATAAAAGCAAGACTCATCCCCTGAAATTAGCTTCATTGATGATATAAGAAGCTTCAGCAAATAGCCTTGTGCCTTTCATGCAGAAGTTTTCAGCTTCACCTTATCTTCAATACTAGAAGTTTTTGCAGTTATACAGTCTCTCCATTCTGTATACTCTGTCAAAATTATGGCTTCAGTCTATTGCTGTTCAATATCACAAACTGATAGAAAGGTTAGTCCTCTTATCTTTCGCTTTCAAAAGGTATCCTTTCATCATATCTACAATTGGAAGCACATCTACTGTGTACTTTCAAGGTCAACGCCACAATATAAGAACAAACAGTGCTCAGGGTCGTTTAATCTCGAGTGGCATCACTCAATTGTTACCCACCCACCCACAAAAAAAAAATCTGTCTTCTAGAAAACATTGGGTCGAATGCTAATTTGCAAGAAACTTTGCAAGTTTCATTGATATGGTAATATTTGTCACTGACCTGGCCTCTTGAAAGCATTTCAGATTTCTTCAATTTCTTCATGGCATAGATATTCCCTGTTTTTTTTTCTCGACATAATCGGACCTGGAAAGTTGAAATTAATTAGCAGGCATACAAAACATCAAATTCCTAGCAAAGTAAAAGGTCAAGTTGAGAAGAATATATCCAAGTGTAGGAAATTAAAATTAAAATAACGGAAAAATGGAAATATCGACAACAAAAGTTGGGTAGAACCAGAAATGTTGATAATAAAATAATCAGCATCTTATCATCATCTGATGACAAGACTTTATGGCCATACTTGAAACATCTTTTTTTTTTCTTTTTTTTTCCCCGACAAAGATTGCTCTAAATTTTAGTAATAAGATACCATGGGCGGTAGATTAAATTATCTTTCTAAGCTACATGATGCACGTTATCACAATTCAAAGATTACATGAACAAGAACATTTACATAATTTCAATGATCTCAAGACTTGTAAAGATAAGGTATTCAAGAAAAGAGTTGTGATGCAAATCACCAACCTCACCAAAGGCTCCTCTCCCAATAATGGTTAAAAGCTCAAAATCATCTACACATATCTTGTTCCTCCTTAATCGCATAAACTCTGTCTCTTTTCGCTCCAAATCCTTGATTAGATTGATCTGTTCCTCTTTGGGAACATCCGAAGATGCTAATTTTCGTTCTAGAATCCATCGCCTGGAGTGAAAAGCGTAAAATATCAAGATTTAACTGACATAAATGTAACAAAAATTTGCATATTCATATGGGCCCAAAGATTCCATTGCCTTGATTAGATTGATCTGTTCCTCTTTGGGCACATCTGAAGATGCTAATTTTCATTCTAAAATCCATTACCTGAAGTGAAAAGCATGGTGTAAAAATATCAAGATTTAACTCACATAACAGTGACACTGATAGAATACCAAAGTGGGCAAAAAGAAAATTTGATATTTCAGCCAAAAAGTCAAGAAAATCCTCTGTATTTTCTTCCCTTTATGGTAAGATTGGTAAAATCTCTTGGCTACCATGCAAAAGGGAGAACTAGCTCAAAACATCAACGCCTTTCAAAATGACAAAAGCAAAGCATAATATAAGAACCATACAATCTGGCATCTTGGTTTATTAAATCAATTGTATGTTTCATAAAACAAAGTTAGTTGACATAAAAATATAACATTGTGAATCTCATAAATATTGAACAATTTTTGTAAGAAACAAAACATATTTTCCAGATGTAAAATCATGAGTGAGGACTGAGGATTATCAAATATTCCCTGAGTAAAGGGAATATTTACAGAATTTGTACAGGATGCCGGCAGCATCCTGTCCATCTGTGTTTTAGCCCTTTTTCCCAAACTGTGAATCTGCACCGTGAATTTGAAAATCCTGTATAAAATCAGTAAGAATTCCCTGTACCTATAGACTTGTTCGAGGATTATTTACTAAAAAATTTCCCTGGGAATGTCCACCTAGGATCTGGATCCCCGAATGCCCTGCAAATGTCATCTCTCATTCCATGTGTTGAACACAGTTAAAATGAACTGCATAAATGAACGTCTGATGTAGCCAACATCATCATCTTTGCCCACTAGAATTACGAGCCACTACTTGTTTTATTCCAAGCAATGAAATGCCACTGGCTTACAGGTTCTCTCTTTCACATATTGATTTAGTTTGAGCTAACTACATATCAATAAATGGTCCAATTGATGCCCGAACGCATACTAGCATACGTCATCAATCCAGTAGACTAGAAATAAAAGTAGCTCCCCTTCCATATTATTGACCATTTCTCAAATCAAGAAACATACACGCCTTCGATGGATTGTATGGAGTGGCCAGAAAAAGATTCGTGTAGCAGATCACAATTTTAATGGGAACAAGGCTTGGCTAATTGTTATTCGTTAAGTCATGCATTTGGTTTTGGGATGTCAAAGCACAATAACCAGTGAACTGAGCAGTGAGCTTTTAGAGCGTGTTTGGTAAGCTTGAAAAGAAAAGTAAAAGTTACTTCCAAGTGACTTTACGTTTCTACATATTTTTGGATACTTTTTCTCATGTAAGTTAATTAGTTTGAAAGTGAATCTTACCTACCTGTCCATTTATTTAACTTACTAATTTTTTTAAAAATATTTGTTTTAATAATTGAAAATTTACTTATTCACTTATAAGTGAACTTTATAATCTGACCAAACATGTTCTTAAGGACAGATATTCACGAATTTCACAAGTTTCATTGAAGCTTTTCTACTCCACGTGTTTATTTAGGTTAAATTTATATAGTTTCTACTAAATTTAAGGAATGAACACTTGTTCCTTGTAATGATATCATACTCATTGTTAAAGTCATCAGCCATGACTTGAATATCCTCATTAGTACGGACAAAAGTGCATTTATAATCATACACTCGGATGGTCAACGTTGGTTCTTTAGTATCATCCAACTCAGACTATTACCATCGGCTTTAGAACTTTCACCGCGATAACGTAACAAACAACACTAAATGCCTAACAAAAATATCACTGGCTATAAATTAACATCAACTTACTCCAATCAAGATTTTCTATGTGTTAACTTTGGATACATTGAACAAAAAGTTCAGAATTACAAACCAAAAGAAAAGGAAAAGATTGTCATCACTACAGCATGAAGACGGAGAAATAATAAAAGTTCTGCTCGAGTCTACTTCTCCTAAATGATGCAGAACTAATTGCAACTATTTTTGAAATTAGCAATACATTTTACTATGGCCCATGCTGATCTTGTCTTGCAAGACCTCCATAATCAAACTTAACCCCATTGCCCGATCATATCTCCCAAAAATCTCCTTCACATTCATCTATCCTATCACTCCTTTCACAACATAAACCTAATAACTTCAACTCGGAAATATCATCTCCCGCTTATCAAATAAGTTACTGCAACGAATTCTTCTATCATAAAACCCCGCTTAAATTCAGTCATTTATGAGTTCCTAACTAACCTAATTAATTACTAGACTTTCTGCAACATAAATTAGACTAATTAAGAAAGAAATTCTTCTATCATTATCGTAATTTATTTATATAAATTCATGAAAATTTTCACTTGCGTCACTAACTTAATCACATGCAGACCAAATTAATTCATTATAATTTACTGAATTCAGGAAAAAAAAAAAATCAAGAACCTCTACAAAAAATTCCAAAAATCAAAGCACGTGCTGGATCTTCTATACCATAAATCAAATTCACAAATCGAAATAATTAATGTAATGCTCTACTACCTCCCTACATTTATAACTCATTTTATATATAAATAAACGTGTGTGGGTGTTTCTGATTTTCTATGATTGCAGTTATACCTCTCCTTGCGCTCTTGGATGCTTTTCATCTGATTCTTGTAGTGATTTTCGATGTACTGTTTTGCAGCGGCGACTTTTTCCATTGTCAAGCTAGACCCAGTCACTTCTTCACCGATATTCATCACTTCCTCTTCCATTTCCTCTCTCTAGATTTCCACTGAATATGCGTAGGGGTGTATTTATATATATCTGTGTTAACGAGTGATACATAGGCACAAGGTGGAAAACCGTACTAAAGGTCTCCTAACTTTGACCACAATTTCATTTTAGTCACTCAACCTTTATTAATTCTGTATCATTGATGACAAGTTTATCGTAAAATTTAATGTCTTCTACTATCGACAAATTTCCGCATGGATTTCTCTTAATGGTAATTTGCTTCTTTATCTAGTCATTGAAGTTAAATTTTTGTCGAGATTTGTTCATTAAAGACAATTTCATCATAAAATTTAATGTCTCTCTACCGACAATTTTTATCTGTGTAAATTTCTCTTAATTTCAATTTGCTATGTTGACTTAACAACGAAGTAAACTTGTAATTTAATACGAAAGTCATGTCATTAACTGTCTACCTTTAAAGTAGTTGTATGTTAAAAAATATTGTGTGTTTTACAAGTTACACGTATAAATATTACAGTTGGATAATTAAAAAATATTATAGGCTTTCGTATTGTTCATGTAAGAAAGTACCATTATTTTTTGTGACAAAGTTGTTGATGACCAAGTTGAATTGAAATTGAACTCCAATGATGAGTTTGAAGGGGAGAAAAATATTTGACTAAAATGAATTTTTTTTAAAAGTTAAGGGGCCTCTATTTTGTTTATTGCAATAACAAGGAAGAGGAAGGGTACCTCAGAAATCCACTAGAGGCCTCGTTCCGCTATAGTACCTCTCTTTGTATCGAAATTCCTCTGCTTCAATTTATTGTACATTCATACTTTTAAGAACACAATTTTTGATGAACGGACTTACTTGGAATAAATGTACAAGTTTAGCAAATCGAGTGTAGATAGATTGACTGTAGCAGATTTGAGCCCGACGTGAAAAGGTTTGGATCTGCCGCTAACGACAGGTCTATGCTAATCTGGGTCTACTTGACAGCTGGCATTTCGAAGGGACTGTTTGGCAATTGATTTTAATGTTAATTTTTTTTTCTCCTTTTTATATAGGATAAAAATATTACTATTAATATATAAAGACAAAACTATTTGAAATTAAAGATTCGCTGACAAAAAAAAACTTAATTGGAGAGACTTCAAGACTTGAAAGAATGTATTTTTCTTAGATTTTCACTAATACTTAAATACTTTCTAAATCATTTTACATCAAATTATAAAGTATACCCAGTCGAGTTTAAGGGTTTTCACAGTTTTTGGGACACGGTTCTTACGAACCATTTAATCGGGGAAGGATTTAGGGGGAACTAGGCCAAGCAAGCCAGCTATTTTTTTTAGTGTAAGAAAAAAAAATCTTGTTAGGTGTAAATTTATTTAATGAAACGAGATTGGATCCAATATAAGCTTACAATTACGAACTAACATATTTATCTAATTTATCCCTCTAGACATTTTTCGATGTGCTTAAAAGTTAATTTTTAAGACACTATTTTAAAGAAGAAAAATAAAATGTGAGAAAAAATATTAAGGATACGTTTGATTGTGAGCATAGAATTTGTATGGAACAAAAATAAATTTTAGGTAATTCAATTGCTTAGAACTTATTTGTATGAAAATCAATAAATAAATGTGTTTGATTGATTTAGTTTTCAACCTAAAAAATATTATACTAGTCTATTTTTTACTAGTGGGAAGATGAAAAGGAGGTGATGGATAAGAGAGAGAGAGAGAGTGAGTGAGAGTGAGAGTGAGTGAGCGAGTGAGAGTGAATTCCTTGGAAAATAAAATCATATTCCCTCTAAACAAAATATTTTCCTTGATTTTGAGAAAAATATGGTCACGTGATCAAGAGTAGGAAATGTTTTCCATGAAAAAAGAAATGTCAATCAAACAGCACGAAAGTAGAAATTTAGGCCCAAAAAAACCATTTTTCGTGAAAAATATTGACAATCAAATACACTCTAACTTTAAATACATATATAACAAGTTACTCTGATATAATTTTTTCTTACTTTTAAGCACCGCTTAAATTTGCAAGTGTGGCAAAAGTTTGAGTTATCAGATTGTGTCTTTCTTCACTGTCAAAGTGTGGAAGGCTAACTTAAACTATTATCTAATCAGAACGCCACTTGACTTTGAGCACTTTTACAACTCATATTGTCATCCCATAATTTATAAATTAATGAAAACATAATTTGCAAGAAGACAAAATATTAGGTACTAAGAATTGTAAATAACAAAATATATGTATTATGTCAAGTTCTTCTAAAAAAGTGGACCTATATAAATTAATGTAGTGTGCAAATGTGCTTCTCGCTCTTAGACAAATAGGGCTATTCAATTTGGGAAACTTTTTAATAGTCTCAAAGTATAGAGTATTCAATACTTCATATCATTATATTCGCTATTAAGAGCCTGTTTGGTAGCAATTTTTCAGCTCAAAAAATTCATTTTTTTATCGTTAAACATGAAAATCTTGCTGAAAATGGGAGCGAGAAGCACATTTGCACAGGTGGGACCCACCTATTGTAGTTAACGGTCATTTTTTGCTGAACAATTAAAATGGGCTAAGTCTAAAAGGTTTTTTGAAAGTACAAAAGGCATATTATTGGACCTATAGTAACTAACATACAGTCAAGTCGACTCAAGACCTATAGTACAATTATTAATTTTCACTTGTTCCACTAAAGGTGAGAAATTGAACTCTTAAATTATGTAAAATCATAGAGTAACAATATTTCAATTCCCTAGAATTACATCCTCTAAACTTGCCAACTTTATGTCTTACCCCCTCGAACCTCGAATAATATCACCTAAAATAAAAAATTCTAATTATTTCTCAACTATGCCTGCTTTTTTAATAGTTTCTTAGTGACTAAACCACATAAATGATCTAGCCGTTGCCAAATACTAAGTTTGGATTACAAATTCCTCTCATAAGGAAAACGTCAGTTGACTCATTAACCCATCGACAAGGTGACATAGTCCAAGACTCGAATGCATGCTTACTACTAATTTTGTTGACTCACAACGTTTCAAGGCATTTGATCGTACAAATAGATCTCACTTATCGACATATCAAATATCTTTGAGTTCGAAAATAACAACCACTATTCCATAGAAGATTCAAACAATCCATAAGACAATCATGTATAGCGTAATTTCTTAGCACGATCATGCTATAGAAATTAATTTATGCATAATGATCATGTCCAATACAATTTCAAAAGTGTACTTGTGTTAATATTCAAGATAATTGCATACCACAATTGATAGACTATCTGACCTTACGACCTTATTAGAACAAAGTAATCATCATCAGTTTATGAGGAACAAATTCTCGATCAAAATGTAAGTTATGTCCATTTGTCGTTCTCTATGCAATAACCAAACTCCCATTATCACGAAGTGGATAACTGCACTTAATCGTATGCTTATAATCATATGTGTAATAGATTTATAAACAAATATAATTATAAAATTAATATTTATTTAAGCCCCCATTGCGAAATAAATTTATAAGTGGTTATTGAATTCAGTCAAAGTCGAATATTAATTTCAATTATACATTCATAATTATAAATTATTACTCACACATTTTATGAGGCTCATTGTTATTTTTATTTATAATTTTTTCAAAGCAAGCTAAATGACAAACCCAAATCTAAAATGTTACAGTAATGCCCTGGGCTCTATTTGGCCTCCACTTTCTAAAATTTAAATTTCCTCGAACTCATTTTCAATCACACATTTCATGTGATCCACAATTTTTATAAATTTTTCAATAACATATTTCATCAACTTTGTCAAAATCACACAAGGGTCTAACGTTATTGGGCACATATTCCAAAAGCAGTAAGATAACCATTCTCTGTGCGGACCGGGGGGATTGACTGTGGGAGGTGTGTTGGGGTTGATAGAGATGGCAAAGGGGCCGAGCGGCTCGTCGGCTCAACTCGTACTATTCATACCCACAAGTCGCTCGGACTCGTCAAAAAAGGAGCCCGAGCACGAGCCGAGCGGGCTGGCTGGCTAGGCAAGTCGAGCCGGCTCGGCTCGCACTATTCACGAGCTGCTCGACGAGCCGCTCGGCTCGTGGGCTCGTGTTATATAAAATAAAAAATAAAAACTTTAGTAAGTGACCAGAACGGTCACTGATTTTCAGTAACTGTTTGGTCCTTTTTTTTTTTAATTTTTTTT